CTAAGACTGGTTGGACACGTACCTCCACTCTTTCCTATCCTGAGCTAAACTTCGCATTTCCCTAAAACTAGAACAGCCCACATCCTTAACTATTTGCGAACAGTAATCTAATCTAGGTCTACCTCTACCCCTCCTAACTCGTGTTTCTGCCTCTAATATGTCTCTGACTAGACCTTCATGCCCGAGAATAATAAATTGACTTACAACACAAAGAAGATACTGTCTAGTGAAACAATTTTTATTAACAAATTATAAAAAGTACTTAAATTCTTGGTCAAAAAGTTTATCGAAACAGCCAGATGCGGATCGTGATTTCGATCTCATCAGCACGTTTCAGACAGCCTCGACAAGTCATTGACCAAACCGACGAATTTTCTATAGAAAGGCTTCTTGTAATATCCAAATACAGGCAGTGAATCGCTGTTGCAATAGCAGTAAATATCTCCTAAATAGTGAAGGAGCACCCTTATTTGAATATTACAATAAATTATGACGAAGTCTGTTTTAAATAGTGGTGCAGCCCTCTGTTAAACAATAGCGAAGAAAAAGCTTGTAGTTGTTACGACAGTTTTGAAGAAAACTGTAAAGGAGTTTGGAAACTAATAATATTTTTCAATTTAGGGGGCTCCCTGCGGAGATAGACTGTCAAAGACGTTTTTACTTTTAGTTCATAAAAAATAAACGTTTCCATAACAATTATAAAGTGCGAACCAACTATAAAGATCTTATTATTTTCTAAATTCCTTTGCTGTACTCTTACAATTTTCTGCGATACTGTCGTAACAACTGCTAGCATTGTTTTCGCTTTTGTTTAATAGATGGCCGTGCCGGTCAAATTTAATTTTTTAGCTGTTCTTCGATTAAAAACTTAAAACTCATATGAATGCTGAATTCCTAAGAAAATACGGTGCCGTTTTTGTCAAATATGTCATGGTGTTTAGTAATAAACGATAACTGACAATTTCGGACGACCTTGCCGCCTCTCACATTAGGTAAACGCAACATCAAACGCGGTGTACGACATTAAGAGGTCAAAATCCATTTTTTTAAATACATATGTACCTATATATGTCTCTTATTTTTTCTGTGTATGTTTCTTTTCGTCTTTCAATTTATTCACGACATGTGGTCCGCGAATGCCGCCGCCTACAAGAGTTCTTATTAATTTTCATTAAAACTACATCCAACAATTCCTCCTTCTGCCCAGCAAAATAGCTGTTAACGAGATAATAAAAGAGATTATACAATTGGGGTACAACAATTTTTAGTGTGAGTACAGTTTACAAAAAGCTGCAGAAACAGCGGACTCTTCGTCATGAGTCCACATTACACAGGTGGTTGAACACGCTAGCGTGCTCCGCGTGTATACTTAATACAGTAACGTACTTTTAAAAGTATATACTTAGCTATTTTGCGGTTTTAGTTTGTTTTGTTTCCACGGTGACCATGAAAATAGAAGTCGAGATCAGTAGACGCGCGAAAATCTTCGTCTTCTCCGACATGATTTACACTTGCGAAACAATTAAATGACAACCGCTACATTCTAACACCTAACTAATAAAAAGTAAGTATTCCTTCTTTTTGTTTAAAACAAAAACCAAAAACATTTCGCTGCGATAACAATCGAAACCAAAAGCGCTTCTTCACTCAAACATAAGCAAATACCTATTCTGTAATTGGCACTACAGTTTTTAGTTTTGTATAATTTTAACGTCACCTTTGTAACACTTTTGTTCTTGACAAATAGTTGAGAAGTAAATGTTAATGTATATGCAGAAAATGTTTATTGACAATAGGAAAAATAGGTCACAATTGAAACTAACAATTGTTAGAAATTGTTTTTATAAGAGAATTCCTGTGTTGTATCGTACTGGTGCCATTTTCATCCTACAGTCGCGAAAAATAATAAAAGATCTGTAATGACCCATCGTGCAGCAATTATTAAGCGGAAGTTGAATAGACTAGTTATCTCTGCATCAGTTACCTAATGCCTAATGCAATAAGTTAATAAATATAATAAAACAAAGACATTCACGGATTTCAGGTTCGTCCGAAAGCCCAAAAATGAGCACATCAACAAATAAAATGACAAATGAACATCAGGAACAAATGATATCTTCTTGTAGCATTAACAATAACAACAACAACAACAGCAACTACAGTGGTCCTACATCGAAAAGAACCCAAAAGCAAAAGCTTTTCTTGTACATTCCAAAACTGATAGAATCGGGTAGTTTTTCAAAACAAAAAATGAGTTCAAACTTCGACAAAATAACCGAGGAACGCTCAAAGAAATTTCCGCAGTCTCCCCATCAACCGACAACGAACGCGTCAACCATTAAATCTATTAACACCAGTGCTACGATTGTCGACATGTCGGGTGCCCTAATGGACAATAAAACAATAAATGTAGCGGCTAATAGCTTGTTAAATCTAAATAAAAGAATTGCTCCAATCCCCCCGGTGAAAACGCCGCCGCCGCTAACGCCTTTATCGCCAGTGCAAAAAGTGCTGACAATGCCAACCACGATCTACGAAGAAGAAATTGAAAAATCGGGAAAAAGTCGCGCTACAATAACCGGCGGTAGTTGCAAAGGGCATCAGGACGACGACGCCCTCGAAAGCATTTCCGAATCGCAGGTTTTGGTTACCCCCGACGAACAATCGACACCCCGGTTTCTGGTCCTTCCGCCCACCGGAAGTGTGTTGACATTAAACAAAGTTTCTCAGGACAGTGTCCGGTAAGTGGTAATTTTATATTTTTCTTAAATATAACAAGATAGGAGGGGATGGTTGGTGTTGCAACCCTGGTCTTGACATTATTGAAGACCTCTTCCTTTTTAATGATTCCATTGTAATTAAAAAGTTTACACTGTTTTTTAAAATGTTTCCGTAAAGGCATTTTTCCTCTGAATTGAAGTATTCTTTGTAATAAATATTAATCTACCCTTAAATAGATCCTTATGTATATATAACAGAGGATAGCGCAGGGTAGAGTTGCCTTTAACAAAAGGAAGTCATTTCTATGTTCGCGAACGGTTAATTTATGAATTCGAAAAAGATTGTTAAAGATATATGTCTAGAGTACGGCTCTGTATGATAACAAAAAGTGGACGGTGGGTGCGGCGGAAAAATAAAAGATTAGAAGCGTTCGAATGTGGTGTTACAGGCGAATGATGAGGATACCGTGGATAGAGAAGGTTGGAAATGAGGAGGTATTAGACAGAGTAGGGGAACACAGGACGCTATGGAATTCAATAAGAAGTCCAGGCAAGGTTTATTGGTAAGACACCTTCTCAGGCATGAACGACTAGTTAGAGATATTGGAAACAAAAACAATAGTTAAGAGGGGCAGACCTAGATTAGATTATTGATCACAAATGGTCAAAGATATGGAATGCTCAACATTTAGAGAAATGCCAAAGTCAAGTAAAGTTTTTAGATAGGTTTGATGGTTAAGGAATATTTGATGCATTTTCATTGACGTTAAATGAGATAGGTTGATAGGACATCTCAGACGTGAAGGGTTAGTTAGAGACATTAGTAACAGAAACAAGAGTTAAGGGGGCTAGAGGTAGACCTACATTAGATTAAATAATCAGAGATATGGGATGCTCTAGTTTCGGGGAAATTCCAAGATTAGCTCAGGATAGGAATGAGGACATGTACGTGTCCAACTAGTCTTAGGACTGACAATCTTATGAAGATGGTGATACCTTTAAATAGTCCAGTCGTGTTATCAATTCCAATCTGTAAAGTTTTTAGATAGTTTTATTGGTTAAGAAATATTTGATGCATTTCCGTTGACGTCATTTTTTCTAAACTAGTGCAAAAATGCAAAAGGTCCATTTCGCAATAATAAAATTGCTAGTGGTCGTTAAATTAAAGTTTTATTGCCGTAGGACTTCATAAAATTTATTTCTTCCTGAAATTTTGTTTCTGTCGTAGGTATAATGAATGGTACAATTTATGTCGTTAATTACATCTATNGCAGACCTTAGAAACCATTTGTCTGTATAATTGGAAGTCTACAATTTAAACATAAATTGTCTCAAAAGTGTGATCTACAAACGTTTCTGTGAATTTGGGAAATTTGGTTGAATATATGTTATATAAAAGCACGGTAATAACATTTTAGTTCTATTCAACGGAATAACTTGTTAAAATACACAGTGAACACCCCGTTGTGAAACCACGTTAGGTTAATTTCATTCACAAAAGCGTTGCTTTCGTTGCTCTTTTGTTTACCATGTGTCATTTTCAACACGTGACAAGACTAATTTAACAAACTTTCCTTAATCCGGGTCCGGTGGTTGTGACATAGAGGATCTATTTATTTTAGTACAACGTTTTAATCTCCTCCAGTGAGTATTTTCCATTCAAAACTCAGGTAAATTACTGGTAAAGTTTGCTTATTTCTTGACAACTTCATCATAGTTGAAGAGTCAAGAATAGTTTTGTGTATTACCTACTTTTAAAAGGTTTAACGAAAATGCAAAAGGGGCAAAGAAAACATGTTCTCAATGACTGTCAAGTACACTTTTGTTGACAAAGCTGCTGGTGTTATGTTCAAATAACATTTGAAAAGCAACGATCGCGTTGGGGCCTAGATATGGTACCGTTTTCATAAAACTTAATTGAAGTGGTAAATTATAACCAAACAGGGAGAAATTGATGAAAATTGGGCTATATCGTCATGGATTAAAACCGAAATTTGGCAAACAATCGGAAGAAACGGTACTTTTCGTAATTCTTTTTAATAAGATCCAAAAACGAGGACCATCAAAGTTAAAGAAGGAAAAAGAGAGATATAGGAACCATGGATACCTACCTATGATTTGGGTTAGATAATTTAAATGATATTTTAATCGAATAAGAATGAGTCTTTTTGAGCACTTACTTCCGGTTTCTGTATTTTACGTCTTTGTGGAAAAGAATGTTCAAAAGTGTTTGAGATGTTACAGAAAGATGTTCAAAATACTGTGGATAGAATAGGTTAGATATGAGACGATATTAGAGTAGGAGAACAGAGGTCCCTATGGAAATCAATAAAAAATTAGGCGAGATAGGTTAGTAGGACACAATCTCAGGCATGAAGGTTTAGTCAGAGACATATTAGAGGTAGAAACGGAAGTTAGGAGGGGTAGAGGTATACCTAGATTCGATTACTGTTTGCAAATAGTGGTCCAAGTTTTTCTGTGGTTTCCTTGGATCACTTGGGCAAATGCTGGGGCAGTCATATTCCACAGATAATCTTTCATTCCCTTCTGGCGTCATTTCGTTCGTCTTATCTTTCTCGCCCGAACTACCACCCACCCATTCCCACGATTCCTGAAGGGAGTTTGAAAAGGGCTTTCCGGCGTAGTCCAGAGGGACTGCCCGCTCATCTGCATTACTGGTCGGTGGGAGTGAAACACCCAAAAGCTTTTTTTTTAATAAAATATTAATTGCATCTTCGATATAAAGATTCAAACTTAGTTGTAGTAATGTCTATATCCTTGAGTAACTCTCTAATATTTGCTGGAACATAGTTTGATGCTTAAATTCGATAATCACCTGTTGCTGTACATACAAATTATTTTTCACTTTTTGGTTCCTGTATCAGGTATCATCCCTGCATTTTAAAAAAACTCTTGCGTTAAATGTTGTAGCTCCAACAAATATGCATTTGTTACTTTTAATAATATAACAATGTTTGTATATATGAGGGTATAAAAATCTCTTTCTTAAATGCCGAAATCAAAAGACAGATGTAATAAAATTTCGTTAACGATTCATCATAAATCATAACCTTTTGGATGTTTTATGTGTATGTACAGGGTGTCATATTTAAAGTACGGTTGATATAAATATGGTTTAAGTTTAAGGGACAAACAAATTTGGAAGTTTCACACATTTCTACAATTGGTACTTGACAAAATGATTTTAAATTTCATCTCACAATCAGAGAGAGATCTAATTCGATGGAATTATTACATAAATCGCTATTGCTGTAGTAGTAGGTAGTACTTCCTACATTCTGATTCAAATTAACTGTCAACCTTTTAGATAAATTCGTGATTTGTTATGACGTGGAAGACAAACTTTACAATAAGATACAAAGACATTTTGGACAATTTATGAATTTTTACTTTCCGAAAGTNATGTTAACAAAACATCTGAACATGAAAAAATATATATAATAATTCTCGAAGGGAGGTTTTAATAAAAGACACTATTTCATTTTCACACAGCAGGTATTTGGGTAGATTATGTTAGATTTTCGGACTGAAAATTTTGGAAATAAGGGAGGAAGAGTGGTATTTTATAAAGCTGTGCAAGTTGACGCATTTTCGTGAGGGTCCCATGGGCAAAAATAAGGCGGGGTAGTTTGGAAAACTGTACCTACTTAAAATCCTATATTTTAGTGGGGTTCTATTTCGAGGTAGGTTTTCTCGAAATGGTCTTTTTCGGATTTGGATTTCATTCTGCTTCTCAAAACCTTACCTTGGATGAATACGAAATATTTGATGGGACATTATTGAGGTATGATAAATAAGTAAGGAATTATCATGAGAGTAATACAAGGATAACGTATGAAGTGAGATAAGAATGTAAGTGAATAGGATAGAAAGAGAAAAACTTGAAGTTAGGGTAGAGTATAGAATGGATACCACTCTTACAGAATGTGGTGAAGGACTCCCGCAATTAGCCAACACCAGGCTATCGCAATAATACTGAAAAAAATATGCCTAAACCTGTTTTTGTGGAGACCATCATGCAAATGGAGCTTTGCGTTTATTTAAAAAAAGTTATGAGTGTAGCAGAGCCCTTATATATGATTCCTCACTGATTTCAGGATGGTAAATGGGAGTTAAGACGGGTAGAGGTAGGCGTACACTAGATTACTGTTCCCAAATACCAAATTGTTAAGGTGTACCTAGTTTGTTAGAGTTTTTGAGAAATGCTAAGAAAACAGGAAGAAGTGAAGATGCATGATCAACCGGTATTGAGGCACTTTGATGATGAAAATGACCGAACTCTATTCCATCTTTAAATGTTGTCCTAATTTTAAGTCGCTAACGACTGAGCGACATAGCGTAGAGATTCAGACCACTGCTCAGCATTCGGAGGGGGGGGGCACCTGTTCGATTCTGGGTCCATCTGCCCTGGTTCAAGTTTTCTGTTACTAGCTTCAATCACTTAGTCTTTATTTCGTCCGCCTCATCTTTCTCAGCTCAACCTCCATCCACCCATTCCCATGATTCCTCACTGAATTCAGACCGGTAAAGTAGACGTACACTAGATTATCGTTCCCAAATACCAAATCGCTAAGGTGTACCTAGCTTGATAGAGTTTTTGAGAAATGCGAAGATTGGTTCAAAACAAGAGGAAGTGGATTAGTGGAGGTGCTAGCAACTGAGCGACATAGCGTAGAGATTTAAACCACTGCACAGCATTCGGGGGGGACACCGGTTCGATTCCGAGTCCATCTGCCCTTGTTCAAGTTTTTCTGTGACTTCCTTAAGATCACTTAGTCTTTATTTCATCCGCCTGATCTTTCTTAGCTCAACTACCACCTACCCATTTCCATGATTCCTCACTGGCTTCAGAATTGGAAATAGGGGTTAAGACGGGTAGAGGTAGACGTACACTAGATTACTCTTCCCAATTACCAAATCATTAAGGTGTGGGTTGTTCGAGTTTTGAGAAATGCGAAGATAAGTTCAAAACAGGAGGAAATGGAGTAGTGGAGGTGCGT